AGGTAAATACAGGTAACTTTAATATTGCTTAAAAGTGGAGGGAGAGGGCCAGGAAAAGAGATTGTTCTTCTACGCAGGAGCGAGGCATTAAAGTGAAAGAAATAAGAAAAGTGGGGTCTGTTGGGAGGGCGAAATCCAAGCTTTTTTTTTTTTTGTATTTCATATTTTTGTAACCATTGTCTTCTAGTTTCTTGAGTTGTATTTCAAATGAGTAGTTTATCATAGAATCATAGAATCTTTGGGTTGAAAGGGACCTTTTAAGGTCATCTAGTCCAACCACCCTGCAATGAGCAGGGACATTATCCTGGCATTTTACACAATTTAATTATCCTAGTTAAAGCACTTGTGTTGAAATATTCTTGTGATAACTCAGTTGCTTCCAGGTGTAAGAGCTAGAATGAATTTTAATTCATTGCAGGTGTTCTAAGCAGCTAACAAGTTTTTTTCATTTAAAAGTAGGTACTACTGAGTTTCACAAAAGGACTTGGTTTTTGCTAATGCATGGTTATTTATTGTTCAGTTTGCATGATTGCTGTGTAAATTAAGGAGAACTCTGTGTTTTGCCTTCAGCAGTTATTTCTTTGCACTAAAAGTAATAGCCAAAGAACCTTGCAGCCAAATGTAAAATATCTAAATCTTCTTCTTTATAGTGGTGTCTTATTTCCCATAAGGCTATCAAATCTTACAGGCTTCTGCTGCATTTACAACAAGAAAACAGGACAAAGTCCAATGTCCTGGAGCAGTCAAAAATCAAGTTGTGATTTCAATAGATCCAACTCTGTGCTGAGTACTTAACAAAATTTTGAACTTAGTAAAATATTTAATGCCTAAGGAACTTTATTCGTTTTGGAGTCAGGAAGATCTTACAAATATTAAATATCTTTGCAGGAACACTTAGTGAGTCTGGATGAGCCAGCCTCAGAAGCTGGACAAGAAGCTCTGCTTAGACAAGAGCAAGCAAAAATCATTCGTTTTGAAAGGCAAGCGGAAGAGTTCCTCAATGCAGTCTTTTACAGAAAAGGTTGGTTTTAATGGGGGTGGGGGGGGAGGGAAATGGTATCTGTCACTGGTCTTTTTGCATGCGATGCAGGTATCAAAGATCTGATGTTCAAGTTGTCATTCTATGTTCAATATTTTTCAGTTGTATGTATTTATCAAGAATAAATTGACTCTCAAATAATGTAGCAATACAACAATGTGGGCTTGGGACAGAGGAAGAGAGTATAACATAATTAACTCTAAAACAAATCTTTCCATGAGAACACTGGTGTTTTGCACTTTTGGAGGAATGACTCAGTTCTTACCCAGCAGAACTGCTCCCCTGAAACCAATGTTTAGGTGAGTGGGCTGTTTGGAAGGAGGGGCAAGTAGCAGTGGTGTTTTTTTGTGGGTTTGTTTGTTTTAATTTTAGTGGGATCTGTACTAATGCAGTTTTTCTTAAAGGTCAGCAGTCTTCTCACTGTGGTCTGTAGTGATTACTCACCCCCAGCAATCCACAGTATAAAATATTGTTGGAATAGTGCTAAGGGGAATATATGGAGAATTCAAAACATGATCAGCAAAAGAATTGGAAAATCAGTACTGTAGAATATGCTGAGAACAATAACAGTAGCTCAATGCTAGAAAATCCTCTAAATCTCTTCTGGAGAGTTATGTCAGTTTAAACTGTGGTCTTAGGAAGGCACAAAACTCATTTCACTTTTCTACCAATCTGAGAAATGGGAATCCAGAGGTTGCTTCCAAATGCATCCTGAATGAAAGTACATTGTACTTATCAGTCTAACCCATGTGTGAGAAAATCTGCCAAATCAGTAATTCCAACCTGTCTGCTGGGGGACAATGTGAGGCTTCAGTTTAACAAATTAGAAATTGCTGTAGCCAGTCCTCAGCCCTTCCTCCCAGTGACCAAAATATTTAAAGGTGTTTTAAGTAGATAACAGTATCTTAGCCTTTCTTTTATGACTCGAATGAATAAATACAAACTATACATTATGATGTATTGCATAAAGTATAGAAGCATGTAGGATGGTAGGAAGGATAGTTATTGCAGTACTACTGATAGTTCAGATAATGCTTTTATTCCAAGTCTTCCCTTTCAGTGTTGGTTTTTTTTTTTTTTTTTCTTTTAAGGTTTTCTTTTGCTTTTAGATTTAGGCCATCTCATTAAATCGAGAAAGGATTTAAGAAAACAAATCTAGAGAAAATATATTTTTTTTCCATATTACTTTTCTGGTGAAAGGAAAAAAAATGCCTTTCCATCACTTCCAAATTGTTTATTAAAGAATTAATCCCCTTAACATTGAGCTTAAATTTTTATGTATTACCTGTATGCCTGTCTTACTAGAAATGCATACTTCCATAGTTGTCAGAAAACTATTGGCAGATATTGCAGTCTGCTAATGAGGTGTTTAACACTCTGTCCACCGTCAGATACACAGAATGAAGATAATGAAATTAATTCAGGTCTCTGAGAATTTTTTTAGTGTACTCTTGCTTTCCTTCCTCTGACAGAGCTGGGCTTGGTGCAAGAGTAATAAGGGAGGGCAAGAAGCCTGGCAGGAAGTCGGTTCTGAATCCTTAAGGCATCGTTGTCAACTTGGCTGTATTTAGATTGCTTGAAAGGTTATTCTAACTCATGCCACTGCCATAAGATCCCCAGGCGCTGTCATACCAAAGCGGACACAAAGAATGGCAGAACTCTGACACTCCTACGTTGCTCAGAGATGCTTGGCTCTCCTGGTTTCATGCCCACAATTAGTTCTTTTTTTCTTTCCATCCACACTGCCGCTAACATTTGAGGCTGGTATTTTGTAGCCCAGGCAGATCAGACAAAATGCAGATGTTCTGTGAACAGATGCCTTTTGCATGTCAGGGACGTGCACACATGCACTTAACGTGCATAGGTAGTTAGCGGGATCAGCAAACTTTTTGAACAGGTTTAATGCCAATTAATCTTACATACTTTCTCTCTGCTTTGTGCCTATGGCACTCTCGACTCAGTAAAGCTTCTTTCGACTATTTATGCTCTCCAGTGAAAGCAGACTGGCAGTAACTAGTATCTAGTTGTCCGTTACCTTTACCTTGTGGCAGCATAGGACGTTCTTTTGATGGTTTAATGAAATCCTACCTTTTTTTTTTATTTTGACACTGGCCTTCTAAGATTTCAGTATAGATAAAATACACAAAATGGCTATTAATGTTTTAAAGCTCAGAGGTACTGCTTTAGGCTATTTATAGCTAACAAATATTTCCTGTATTTTTCATCTCTGAGAATCTCTGTTTTATTTCATTTTGGTTTATTTTTTTCAAAAAACCTAGACACTTGGAGTCAAAATAAACATCTGGTTGATTTCAAGTGCTGCTGCAGAGACACCAGCAAATATTTTGTACTCCCTTTTGAACAGCTTTAATCCTTAGTATTCAGGCTTTATGTTAAGCAAGAAGCCTTTAATGTGCTAGGTAACTACCCTTCTGGTTGAAAATTGAGTTTTGTGTCCTGAATTAGAGAGTTTATCTTGAGCAGCACTAGAAAGCTCTCAGTAGTCACTCGTGCTGATTCTTTGAAGTTGCAGATTACGAAGATGCATGGCAGTAGGCATATATAGTGTTTTCTCCCTGAATTTGCTCTAAGCATTACTGAATTGTACATATGAACATGGGTGCACAGTAAAGGCATGATTCTTCTTCAGGATTCATAGGTGACATAGACCTCTGCATCCCTGCCAGCCCCACTTGTATACACCCCAAGCACATGCCAAATAGTTGGCATCAGTGTGATCATGACATCAGTTTGTGTCTCTCTGGGCTTTCCCAGAGCCTTTCACGTGTCCTGCAGCAGGTTATAGTAGAGAGCTTAGAAAATGGAAGAAATGTCACAATGGCAGGAAGAGGCTTCCAAGCTTCTCCAGGCTTGTGTCCTTGTGGACCATTTGGGAAGAAAGAATATAAATGTACCTAAATTTAAGTTTGACTCATCTCTTGGTGATTTCTTAAAACTCTAGTGTCTCATCCTTAGCAACAATAAAACATCCTGTAGATTTTACAAGAAAATTATTAAGTATTTACATAAACATCTCAGAAGTTTACAGCTACTGTACTCCTATACAAATACACATGTTGACTGTATACGGTCATATATTTAGAAAGCTGTACTTAACAGGAAGGAATTTGGGCTTGATTAAGTATTTAAAGCTCAATACGGTTTTTCATCAAGAAATACAGTAGCTGCTTACTGCTGGTCTGTAGTTCGTGGGCAACTACATGCTCAAACCTTCATGTCAGTCATCCTTTACAGATACTCTAAAGCTGGTTTGTTGGATTGATGCATTTTTGTCAAAAATGGTGGTAAAAGGCAAATCTGATGCTGAAATGTCCCACAGAAGATTTTTGCTAATGCTTCTAATAGTTCAATCTCAATAGATTACCTTTCAACCTGGGCAATTTTTTTTTAAAGAGGAAGTAAACACTTTACTATTGGTCTGTTTTGAGAGCTGCTTTTAAAGATTTGTTTGGTCATCTTCTGTACAATTTTCTCTGAATGTATCTTCAGAAATAGAAAATCAAAGCTTTTGAGCTATTTCTGGAGTTGTTGGGGGGGTTCTGTGTGGGGGTTTTTTGTGTGTCTGGGGGGGTGGGGTGTTTAGTGTTGTGTGGTTTGTGGGGGTTTTTTTTGTTCTGTTTTGTTTTGTTTTGTTTTGTTTTTTTTCTTTTTAAACCTGATTTGGCCAGAGAACACAGGCAGTGTTTGAGGTGAAGTGGCAGGACTTAGCTTCTGTGATTTAGGAGTCACAGATTTGCTTTGACATCACAAATTACTATTGGTCTACAATAGTGATTTTTGCCAGTATATTTTTGGGTTGCCCACATCCCCAAATACCTTTGTATTGATGCACTATTTCATATAAATAATTTGGAATGCCTATCTGTTCCATTTCACATTTCTTACTAATAGATTTAGCAGCTCTTCTAGAAATAGAATTACTTTTCATGTGACACATCTTGGTTTTTTGCATATGTGACAGCTCTTTGGGTAATACCTGGTGCTGCATTGATTATGATGATAGAAATGTCAAAAGGAATAGATAGAATGGGATGGAAGAAACTTGAACATTTGATCTTTGTGTGAATTATTTTGAAGAGTCAGAACTATAGGGCTTTATTTCCCCAGTAAATCTGTAGGGGGCTGCTGCAACTCTTATCACCCCTTTTCCCCTTCTGTAGCTGCAGGTAAGTTACTCAATTCTTTCACTAATCTGTTCAATTTTTGTTTTGGAATGAGCTTCATTACTTGCTACTTTCCTTCATGAGTCTAGCTCTCCTTTCCATTTCCATGCCTCTTAAATGTGTGGTCAAATATACCTATATTTGAAAACAAAAGATGAGATTGCATATTTCTCTTAAGGGAAACTGTTATTTTGGGAAGATTATATCAGAATCATCAATGGTTCTTGTTCAGGTATTCTAAGACTAAAGCACATTTTCTAGAGAAACTTTTATCTTTGGCTTTAATTTTTTTTTCCCTAGATTTTTTTTTTTAATAAACAATGACTTAATTTAAAAGCTGTTTGACTTAAAGTGCTTCCTTAAAAAAAATCTCTAATATTTACAGACAGTCCTAGGGTCTCTGACCCCAATATTCCCCTAGTGGCCCGTGAGATCATGCAGCGAATGATCCGACAGTTTGCTGCTGAATATACCTCAAAAAATAGCTCTACTCAGGACTCCAGCCAGCCCAATAGCACAAAGAACCAAAGCCTGCTGAAAGCATCTCTGGTCGCCTCCTCTCCCACGGCTGCAACTGCTCAGAACCCTGTGCTCAGCAAACTTCTCATGGCTGACCAAGACTCACCTCTGGACCTTACTGTCAGAAAGTCTCAGTCAGAACCTAGTGAACAAGGTAGGACTCTTATCAGTGTCTTGCATCCTACACCAATCCATTAATGGCATTCTTCTTGCAAAACCAGACAATTAGAAGTTTGCACTTTTACATAAAATGTAAAGTGGAAAAGCGGTAGATGTTTTTTACAATAAAATAATGACTAGCTAGACGTGACTGGGAGAGAAGAGACTCTTGAGTAGGCCCATAGACATGAGTGATTTTTCTGAAGAAGGGCAAAGGGGATGGACATGCTCCAAACTCTGGGGACAAGTGTGCTGTTCCCGCTGGGAGCTGCAAGGAACAGTCTACCAAAATAGACTGTACGCTTGCTGATGAGTTCACGTGGTCATGAAAACCATAAAGTTGTCTCCTTTCTGAAGATCAGTACACAGTCTGACTGAAAGACTGATTTATTTTTTTTCTAGTCATAGTGTGAAAACAGTATCTTTAAAAGTCTGTGAGAAACTGCTTTGTGAATGCTGTAAAAATGATACCCATGAACTGTACAAAACTTCCAGGTTTATGCATTTGGAAGAAATGTGTCTTTTCTATCTTAAAAATAGACTTGTTCTGCAGAACACAGATTGAATAACTTGTAACTGTTGCAGAGCTTGTTTTAATTTGAAAACCTTGCTTTCCATCAAAAATGTTTTTTAACAAGCAAATTCTGTGAGTGATTATAGTACACAAATGTTTTTTTTTCTGAAACTGTTGAATAGAGGTTATAAGTGTATCCTACTGATGGGATTAAAATTAGCCCCTTTACCCTTCTTGATAAATGTGTTAGTGTCTGAAATCAGACAAATCTCTCAAATACAAAGTAGTCTGTCCATCCTCAAATGGAAAAGGTGCCTTTAAAAAAAAAAAAAAAAAGCCTTTTGCTAGCTAGTATGCTAGCTAGTATAGAATTGTAGGTATCCCTTTATTCTTTGAATGTATGTTTATGAAGCCTTTTGTAAAAAGGTTCATTTTGTGTGTCCACCAATATGCAGCTTGGGCATCTGGACACTTACTGCACATACAGCACGTATTGAAAGTTGTCACCACAGTTCCATTACAGAGCTGTAGTGAAAGGTTGTATGGGGTCTTTCTTGAAGTGAGGACCTGCACATTTAGCTGATAGGCATTTGTTTCTGGCTAATTTTATTATAAATGTATTTCACGAGTGTCTTTTGCATATATGTTTATAAATGTTAAACTGTTCTCATTGTGAAGCTTTTTGCTGAAAGAGAGGGAGAGAATCAGTTTTGCTTCTGGTTGTTTTTAATTAGAGGACTGTATGGTGAAGAAGAAAGCATGTACAGGAACTGTTCTTTAGCTACCATGTGATGAAAAGGCTGTACGATAACTTATAATGTTCACAACACTTGTTATGGAATTAGAACATGTACATATTAACTTATACAGTAATCTGCTGATGTAAATTTTTTTTTTCCAATTTACATTTAATGTAATTGGGAAGAGGTTTTGCCAAACTTGTTAATGAGAGATTTAAGAGGCTGCCATGAAAGACTGGTGGCGCTTTTTGTTCTAGCAGGTTGAGGGGAACCAGCTAGTTCATAAACTTCTCCATGGGGTATGAGGCTGGTCCTGCTTGCTCTTGGAGATTTCCAGGTTGTAATGGCCCTTCTGATGGAGGAAGGGGTAGATGCAAGTGCCTTTGGCAGCAGCCTGTGCTGTTTAGCGTAGCCTCTTGAAAAGGAGGTGCTACTTGATCCAGGCTCTGTATCTTGTGGCTGGATAAGTGTTCAAAAGTAAGACTGAATTCTCTGCTTGCTTAAGTTTGGGTTATGGTGTGTTCCCAAATGCAGTGGGTGGAACAGCTTTCTGTAAGTTAATTCTAGATCACTGTTTATCATGTTTTTTTTTTTTCCTCCATATGTCAAATGAGAACTTTGGCAATCTGAAAGCCATCTTACATTGTTCTTGTGTTGGGTGGCATTTACTTGAGTAGATGGAATGAGCGAGGAGCTCTGCAGTGTCTCTAGTTTACCTTGCCAACAGGTTTCATTTATCTTTGCCTTATAAATTCCTTGTTTCAAAGTTTCCGGGAATTTCAGATGCCTGTGCTGCTTCTATGACAATGTTGGCCTTATTAAAATGACCAGAATTTCAAGTTGTTTCAGTGCAGTGGGAGCGAGGCTTTTCTAGCAAAAAGCGCTCTCTTTTCTGTTGCCTAGAAATGCAGAGTTTACATAAGGGCTTGCAGAGGAGCATGGGTGAGTGTGAGGAGGTGCCATTAGTGAGAATGGAAGAAGCAGTCTAGCAGGAAAAACAATTTGGTATATGGAAGAAGAGAGGGAGTAAAATGGCACAATAGAGAGGAGAAAGGCAGCAGCTTTGCCAGTAGGAACCCTTCAGAGACATGGAAAAAAGGATGAAGCTAGCTGCCAGGTGAGGAGTCATCCCACATTTATGTGTGTGTGCTCATTTGAAAGTGAGTTTCCAATATGAAATTCTCAATCAATTTTCCTCAGAGATTTGTATCAAAACCAATTTCAAATACTGGCTTAAAGCTCCCCTTTAAAGGGTGGAATATGTCAGAAATTTGAAGATGGGAAGTGGTCCTCATTTTGGGACCACTGAGGGTTAGTTATGCAATAAGGCTGTGTTGTATCCTGAACTGTCATTTATAGGTCATCTTTTATTCTCTGGCTCTCGTAACAGATGCACTTTTAATTTTGCCAATTTTTGTTGTGTCTTCTGAGGACTACGTTGAAGTCACTTGTAAGCCAAATTGCAAACAAATCCGAGCCTTAGTTTATTTAAAAATAAAATAAAATGGAAAATGCCGTGTGCTAAACATGACTTCAGCCCAAAAGACTTGTTTTGTCAAGGGACAACAGGCTGATCCTGTTTCTTCAAACACTGAAGTCATTCTTCTGTCTCTGCAGACGGTGTGCTTGATTTATCTACTAAGAAGAGTCCTTGTGCCGGCAGCACCTCTTTGAGTCATTCTCCAGGGTGCTCCAGTACTCCGGGAAATGGGTAAGAGAAAGCAACTTCCTTTTAAAACTGTTTTTTACTAAAAATGTGTGCTTACCTCCTGTTAATTTTAACGTACTTTTGGTGTTAACCCTTTGGAGTAATGAGTTTTTCAACTTGAACCTTTGGCAAATACCTTCACCCCACCTGCCAAATAAGAGTTGTTGCAAACTGAGACAGATTTAACTTGCAGTTAAGAACTCTAATATCTGTTATTTTGGCCAACTTAATACTTAGCCAAAGATCTTTCCATTACCTGCTACTTGTGTTTAGTGATAAGCGATGTCGATGGAGACACAAGTTCAGTTAAACGTATGAAGAGTCGTAGAGGCTTTGCATTATAACTTGGCTAACTCTCCCCTAAGTGACATGAAGTCTAACAGGAAAGTTTATTTTAGGGGTAGCAATGATTTGTGAGATGAATCAACCTGAATTAGATTTGAATCACTGCATGTTCTTTGTTGATATTTCCTACCATAAACCACAACTTAACAAAAGAAAAGCGGCCGGGGGAGGGAGTCTGGTAGTTCATAAAAATTTAAATATGGCTATTTGGATTTGTGACTGTACTGTAGTACTGAACAAGTTTTTTTAAAAAAGATTATAAAATATGTGGTGTACTACTCTTGCCTTAATTAGTTCAAGGTGTGAAAGAATGTTATATCAAAAAATTTCTTTTAGGTTTCATATTTGTAATGGTCACTGCATACATTTAGAAACCCTTTACTCTTACTTAGGATTGAGCTAATTGTACTGGAGAGGCTGACTGGGAGTAAAAGGGATTTTGGGTGTCGATGGGAGAATTTTATCTTGAAGCTGCTGTGAACAAGTGATTTTTGTAGTGAAGTACAGAAACAGTACATGGTTTAAACTGCTATTTAATTGCTGGATTTAGCTTTACGATAGCATTTGAAAAACTTGAAATTTTAAACTAACAACCCACCACCACCAATCCCATGTGCTGCTAACAACTGATTTAACTTTTACATTTCTCTTCGGAAATACATTACTCTGAGATTTCTCCCGTCAAGATTACTTTTTCCATTTAATATTTCTATTAATAAAATACTTCAATCCTCATTTAAAAGTTAGTCTTAATAAATTTTCACAATTCTTTAGCATAAACCTTCCCCGCCAGCTCTTCTCATTCAATCCCGATCAGGTTATTTACAGCTTTATTTTCCTAGGAAGGCAGCAGGAGCCACTGAGGCTGTGTATTGTTTGTTCCCTTGTTTGTGTATCAAGTGAAGGCCAAAGTCCAACATGCAGGGATGGCAGGGCCAGCATCTGGCATGGTCCTGATGGTCAAGAGAGGATGTGGCATACTGGCACCTGTGGGTACTCGTACAGGTGTGTGGTAAATGAGGGTGAGTGCAGTCTGTTGAGCATCTATGAGATCAGGTGTGACCCTCCATCCTAGTTAGTTGCCGGTGTGAACTTTATTTAGGCATAGAAACACTGGTGCACATTCTGACGCTGATACGTGCTGTAGAGGGGCAGAGAATGCACGTTGCTTGAGAGAGTTCTCTGGAATAGAAAACTTTCATTTCTCTGGGTTTTGTTCTTAATCCTTGTTGACTCTTGTTACCGGCTTCAAGTACGACCTGTTGCATCCTGGAGAGAAGCTAGCAGCATATGTTTCAAGTACTGTGTATGTTACATGCCAGGTCCTTTCAGTGGATCTCTTTTCTCTCTCTCTTTTTTTTTTTTTTTAAATCCCAATGTGATGTTAAAAAGAATAATGTAGCTTTTCAGTAGTATGTATCCTACCCTTAAATAATGCTGACTTAGCTAGAGGACTCTACATAAGTATAGTGTCCCAGAGCATTAAAATAGAATCGCTTACTAGTCTCTTCATTAATCTGTATGTTGAACATGGAAAGGTTTGGGGCAGGATTTTGAAACTAGTGTGACTTAGTTACTACAGGGGGCTAAACAAGCAAAATACTAAACCACACATGTTCATCTGCAGTAGTAGTACTTTGTGTCATAGAACGAACATTTGTGATGAAAGGAATATGGTAAAAATACATACAACTTTTTCTGCTATTAACCCTTGATCTGGATTACAGTTGGAGCTAGGATCTTTTTTTTTTTTTCCTCCTAGCCATGCTGGGTATCAAATGAGAATCAGGGACATGTATATATGCAATTAGTTGTTAAAGAGAGCAATTTGGTAAGTCTAGTGTAATGCAGTGTTTTCCTTTGTGATCTGCAGTATCCCAGCTTTCATACTAGGTGCTTAATGAAAGTCAAGCAAATACCTTTGAGGCCTCCTAAGTATCTTTTTTTTCTATCCTGAGCAGCAATTCTTCAATATGATGTAAGCGAATACCATCCAAGTTTTCCACCTATGTGTAGATACTGCAGGTGGCAGTCATATTTGCATGTTGAATATGTTGCACTTTGGCTTACTCTTTTATTACTGTACTTGTTTAGTGGTAACGTCACACCAGTAACACAGTTGTGTCTAGATCTATGGCGATTGATTACTACTTTGTAATTAAGGTGCTATTTTCAGACGCTTGCGCGAAGTCTTTTCTACTCCGAGAATTTGTGAACCCAACCAGAGACCAGCCAACAGGTTTATTTTCCTTTGCCCAGAAAGCTTCTCTTTTTTTGCGAACAAGTTTTAAAACTGACTGATGCTGAGACTTTAGAAAAAAAAAAAAATTAAAATTAAAAAAATTAAAAAAAATAAAAAAAAAATAGAGAAAAATAAATAACACAAAAAGTGATGTTACCCAAGCAAGGCCTTCTAATAAAGGAGTGGCCCCCTCACCCATCCCTCCCTACCTGTGCAAGTCCTGCTCACATCAGTTTCCTTCCATCCAATTAGGCGACCTGGGAGACCCAGCCAGCACCATCCGGAGGGACTACAGAGTGGTGATGGGGTACCTCCAAGAAGCTTGCAGGATGGAACCAGGGAAGGTTATGGCCACTCCCCATCTCTTAAAGAACCGCTGGGGGCTCGATCACTCCAGATTAGTGAAGAACTGCTGAGCAGAAACCAGTTTTCTACGGCTGCCAGCCATGGGCCATCTGGACTACAGAATCATGGACAGCACTTAATATTATCCAGGGAGGCTTCTTGGGCAAAACCACACTACGAATTCAATTTCAGCCGCATGAAATTCAGGGGAAATGGTGCACTCAGCAACATCAGTGACCTTCCTTTTCTTACAGAAAACTCTGCCTTTCAAAAAATGGCACTTCAAACTAAACAGGATGGGAAAAAGGACGTGAGCCATTCGTCTCCTGTGGATTTAAAGATACCACAAGTTCGAGGCATGGACCTTTCATGGGAGTCCCGCACTGGTGACCAGTACAGCTATAGCTCTTTGGTAATGGGTTCACAAACGGAGAGCGCGCTTAGCAAAAAGTTAAGGGCTATCCTTCCAAAACAAAACAGGAGAAGTTTGCTGGATGCTGGACCAGATTCCTGGGGCTCAGATGCTGAGCAGTCTACCTCTGGACAGCCATATCCCACCTCAGATCAAGAGGGAGATCCTGGCTCCAAGCAACCTAGGAAGAAAAGAGGGAGATACAGACAGTACAACAGCGAGATACTGGAGGAAGCAATCTCTGTGGTTATGAGTGGGAAAATGAGCGTTTCCAAAGCTCAGAGTATTTATGGGATCCCCCACAGTACACTGGAGTATAAAGTTAAAGAGAGGCTGGGCACTTTGAAAAACCCTCCAAAGAAAAAAATGAAATTAATGAGGTCGGAGGGGCAGGATGTTTCAGTAAAGATTGAATTAGATCCCCAGGGAGAAGCAGCACAAAGTGCAAATGAATTGAAAGATGAGTAGGGATGTTGTAGAGTGCCAATTACTTTGCAAACTGGGTGAGCACTACTGCATAGTTCAACCACCACTGAGCGCACCTGATTCTCCTATGTACTGCAATGCTCTTTCCTTTGCAGTTTAGCATAGACTTGTGTGGACACAGGTGAAAGGTGTGCTCTGAATGTCACACTTGTAAATTTTGTCTAGCCTGGTATGGCACAGTTTCCCTCCTTCACCTGCCCACTAACCCCTTTTTTCTTTTTTTTTTTTGTTTTTTCTTTTTTTTCTTTTGCCTTTTCCATGTTTCTCTGTAATAGAGAATTGAGTTACCTCACAAAGAATGCAGGTCTGTGGAAGTGGACATCTTGCCTGTAGAGCCTGCCTGAGCTTCTGGTGTTGGATTTTTCATGTCTGCCTTTACAGAAATAAGTCCACTTTATTAAACTGATACTCTCCTAAAACCAGGCATTTTTCAAATGAGAATCAGACTGTCATTCTTCAAAATGTTTCAGAAATCTTTTTTCCTCCCTCCTTTTCTTTGATCCACTTCCTTGAAAGATTTAAGCTAAATCAAGTTATTTAGGAATGGTACCTCTCTTGAACTCGGAGATTTGTTTTATTAGATGGATAATCAATTGGGTCTAATTAGGCTCTCCACTATTTTCTTTCTAAATTAAACATACTTACTGTTCACTGTCTGCTTAGTGCTCACCCGGAGGGGAGAGGAGGGAAAACTTACATACACTACCTTCAGAATATGTCAGTTAATTATTTGTAACACTACCTTCGCTGTAATTTTGTTTGATATTTTTGAAGGGTGATATTTAGACTCACCTGCTTGAGGATGTAGCCTTATCTCACGGAAGACAAGCTTCTCAGTCAGGAGCAGTCAGGGTACACTAGATGATGTATTAGGGTATGCCTCATAACAGAACTATGGTTCTTTGTGACCTTCATGCTTTTTACAGACTTGATTCTGAGTTTACTAAACTATGTGGTTCCAACAACTAGTTTAAATGACACTAATCTGGGGAAGGGGGATTTGTGTAACAAACTACTGTGATACTGCAAAAAAAAAAAAAGCAGCCCACAAAACAGTGATCTCAAACATTACAACCTCAGTAGTCTGCCCAAATATCTACATTAGTGAAGGAGCTTGTTAATGTTCAGGGAAGAAGTAAAACACTGGTAGCCTGATCTAGTTCAGGCTCTGCATCATATCTATCTGTAATACTTAATACTTAATGTCAGGGTCGAACACTCAATGAATGAGTGTTTCCTTTTTAAATATTACAGTTGCCAGTAGCAGGAATTAATCCAAGTCCTGCTTTTTTTGTTGTTGTTTTTATTTAATCTATTTTGATAGTGGTTTAGCACATGCTAGAATAAGCATTTAAACACCGTAAAAGCACTCCATGAACCACAAATCCAGTTTTTTTCAATATGATGATATTGTTATCATTATATGGAGATCCAGGATAAGTTTTGTACAGAAGTTTTATCTTTGATACTTTCTGCGGGAGTGGTCAGTAACTAAGTGGAGTTTACTGGACTTACCACAATATGACCAAATCGGAATTGCTGATTCTTCAGGTAGAAACAATTTGGTCTTAATCTGTGCAAAAGGTAGATAGAATTACCGTGGTTTTTTTTTCCCCATTTGCACAACCAAAAGAAGCATTGGAGTTTTTGTGTGAGAGCATTAAGTGATGTCAGTGGTTGAAAGTGGTTTCTCAAAGTTCATGGGAGGGTAGCCTAGACAGCCCTGGGGATGCTGAATGACTTCTGGAACAGTTGATTCTGTTAGCCTCTCCCCCTCCCCAGCAACTTCATATTTTCAAAGGTTAGGCACACCATTGCTGTCGTTTTAAATATGCACTGCTCATTCTTGAAATGGACTGGGCATTTGGCCCCAAGTATACTTTGTTTTTGTTTACCTAATATATTTTAGTACTCAAAATCCTGATTCTTCGTAGCTCTCTAGCTGTCATCTTGGCATTTAAAGCAGTTAAAGCTCAGTAGCAGTATATAAACTCTGCAATACGTTCCAGTTTAGCTGGTGATTGCAATAAAGGCGCAGTTAAACGTGTGGTTTCATCTGCTGTAGGAGGTTATGATAGAAAGTTTGCTGCAAGTTTAAAAAAAAAAAAGTAACACAGTTTTACTGTTCAGAGAGGTTTAACCTTTTGCAGTTGTCTTTATTTAAGCAACATGAGTTGAGTTTTATTAAACTTGTCACTGTAGTGTATGTGGAGTGCTCATTTTACTAACCTAAATATTTTGTATGTGTATGTTTAAGTGGGTGACAATCGTGCAGCAGAAGAATGGTGTGCCTACCCTTTAATGCTGCAGTTTTAAAAGAGAATTTGTCTTGTCATTTCAGACTGTAGGCTAAGAATTGTAAATAGGTAGTGAGAAGTTGAGTACTCTTTATTTGCTTTGGTTAGAAGGTGGATTTTAAAAAAAACACAAGCCAACAACAAACCAAACGCGTAACTTTCTCAGTTTAAATGTCCTGAGACCTGAAGATTGTACTACTCATGTCTGCAAAGCTTTTAAACACAACACTTGATCTGTGATAACTTAATATTCAGGTAATCTTTCTTTTTCGAGAAGCTTTTGAACAACCATATTTCCTCCAAAGGTCTCTGTTTAAAAAGGAAAAAAAAGAAAAAAGTGTAGATTATTTTTTAAGCACTAATTGCATTACGTTGGTAACTGCAATATAAAATAGCCATTATTGTTTTGTGAAGCATGGTTGAGATTAGTTAGTGGTCCCTTTTTAAAATTTCATGAGCCTCTCAAAAAATAAAAACAAATTTAAAAAAAAGCTGCTGAATATTCAAAAGATATATATTTTACCTTATTGTAGGTTTTGTAAATTTAGTCTGTAATATTCAGGTGCACCTTTTAATGTTACCTTTTTGTTTCAAAGTCCCATCTAATGTATTTTCTCTGAAGTGATTCATCATGTAAGACTAGTATCACTCTAAGTGCTGCAGTGATCACTAATGTTTTGTTTCATTTTTCACTACATATTTTTTACAGGCGCTTTCAGTGTCGCTAACTAGTAGTATTTGGGATCATTTTAAATATATGATTGGAATTAATGTTTGTCCATTAGCATGCTTAATTTTCTGCTGACCAGCAGTTTGCATGGCCAAAATTCCTGGTTGACCATATTTTGGTGTGGGAAGGTGTGGTTCACTGCTGTCTTTGTAACAAAAGCCTTGTTTCTCATGTTATTTCTGGTAAGTGGATGCTTATGTTACTTGGATCAGTTGGACAGGAGAGAAGGTTTAAAATCTTTCTCCTGCTGCTCTTTTGAGATCGCATTAACGTGTAACATAGACAAACTGCAACCCTGTAAAAATCGAGACGTTGTTAGGAGGAGGCCTTTCGGGTATTTTTTATCACTAGTTTTCTCTTATTCCCGAGAATGTCCATCCGATGTAGTTATTGGACTTAACAGTATTGTTGTGTACTACGTTGATGTAGCTGAAAAAGCCTGACAGCAAGAAACTGTGAATAATATTTGTGGCAGTCTCTGAAAACTAGTTTTTCAGTCCAAGTATCATGAAGGAGAATCCCTCTCCCCTACCCCATCCTAGAAAAGTAATTTTATATTTTGTGTGTATAAAGTTTTAAGAATCAAGTTTCATATTGTACTGAAGTTTAGGTGTCGCTTGGTAAATCTTTGCTGCAGCATATAATTGAAGATGAGTAAGGCTTAGTGTGGTAGGGGTCCTGGTGTGGAGTTAATTATCGTACAGTTCTGGTGAGAAAGCCCAACATGTATGAAATGTGTCCTTTTTTATTTGGACTTGTAAGATGTAAAAGTGCTTTTTTAGAACTCTGACCTATTACAAACTATTACCTCACTTTCAGCCAGCTGGATCCTCATTCCACAGTGTTGTAGGCATTATTGTGGCTGTAATGCTTGAGTACAGCTATAGAGTTGAACGTTTCCAGTTAGATATTTTAGGGACACGTTTCTGAACTCATTTTTATTTCTGTCAAAAGATATTTTATTTTCCAGTCGTTTCCTGATTTTTTTTTTAAAGGCTCGAGACAGTTTTCTTTAGAATTTCTCATTTTTTCCCTGTTGCATGGGAGAAGTTGCTGCATAAGTAATACAGATATGCCTTTACTTTTCTTCTTGTTGCAGAACTCATAGTTTGATGCTTGCATTACCAACCCTGTTGCTAGACCTGAAGTCGAACTCTGAATTTCCATGTCAATTGGAAAACAAATTATTTTTAACAATGCAGGTGTACAGGTAGGATAGTGCCTCTAGTAAGGGAACATGTTCAGCTTCTGTGTTCTCACACAACTCCTATACCACCTTTTTCTGTAGAGCTTTCCAGTGCTCAAGGATATTCATAAACATGGGAGGCAACTGCACATGTGTTTAGACCGGTTAAGAGCAGACAGGGAATAGTCTGTGCTTTGTCTTGTGGCAGGCCGACATTTGAGTCTAAATATTTCTTTCATGAGAACCCAAGAGTACATTGCCTTCCCCTGGAAATTCACAGGAGCTGGCAAAGTGATTCAGGGGCTTTAGGGTTGAGCAGGCTTTGTATAGATTGGAACAACTTTGTAGTTCTGATTGAATTGCTTTTTATATCATCTGCAATGATTGTTATACAGGAAAAACTGGCATTATCAGGTGTTTCTTTCCAGTTTACTTTGAAGTAATGCTCTTAAGATACCCTTGAGTCTTAGGAGAAGAATGCAGTGTCCAAGGAGTGAAGGGAGCAACATGCTGTTCCCTTGTTTCTCAAAAACAGTATGGATACATCTGTAATGTAAAGAGCTCTCTCTTCAGTGAAGGCAAAATTTTAACTTTTCAGTGTTAAGAATACATACACTTGTTGCAGTTCAGACTCTTACGAAGGCAAAATTACTAACTTGTACTGAAAGCTTTGCCACAATATTTTAAATAAATAGCTTAAATTATCTGCCAAATGTTAGAGGTAGAATGGGAGGGGTTGTTTCCCTCATTTTCATGAGGGCCAGAAACTTCTAGGTTTTCCCCACAAATGTTTCAGAAACTAAACATAATTTCAGTCTAGGTCAATGTTGCTTTTTCTTGGCACCAGTAGATAATGTTGACTAATACAGGTTTAAAAAGCTGTACCTAAAAAAAAAAAAAAAAAAAAAAAAAAAGAAATAAATTGTTTTGAGACTAGTTTTGGTACTATAAAGGTTTCCACTTGATCTGGAATTATACTGACATCTCAGTAATTAGAACCTTCAGAAACCTGAAAATCTGCATTGCTGTTTATATGCAGTTCTGATGGATGTAGCAAATGAAACAACCACTATAGTTATTCCTGTCTAATTATCCAGTGTAGAAACATGATGTACTGTGATGATTACTAAGCAGAGAGATATTGCGGACTCAAAATGATCTGTAGATCCACTCCACATACACCAGAGGAAAAAAACTCTTAAGTAGTCACAGTGTTCCAGTGTCCATCTCTCTCCCTCTCTCCTGTTCTTGCTTTGACTGGGGCCAAGTCTCTATACCAGTATTACAGCAGCAGTTTTGGACTTCATGTCCTATCAAATTATGCCTATATTCAGGTATTGTCATGAAAACCTTCATATGAAGAGAGCTTTATTTAATCCTCACAAAAATCTCTTAGCCGGCTTGCAAAATGAATTTTCCTGGGTGAGGTACTGGGAGGAAGGATTTTTTTTTTTTTTTTTTTTTTTTTTGCTTCTCCTCTCCACTGACCACTGACCCAACAATCGTCCAGGGCATTTCAGCATTTCATTCACTTTTCTTAAAAAGAACCATCCCCA